AAATTTTTTGAGACAGTTTCACCACTAAATTAATAAAATGCAACGAGCAACGCTTTTCTCACAAAAAATTACTAAATAAGATTAATTTGCATTGAGGCCCTTTGGGAAAGGGCCTCACCTATCGCGACTACCGAAAACCTCAAAACCTGACTGCTACACTAGTACAAGTAGCTTTAACGACTCTACTAGCAAATAAAAATGTGCCTTTTTTACGAATATTACCGTGAATTCTTATGCAGGATGGACTTGATTCACCTCTAAATCCACGTCCAGCCCCGTCCTATATGCATGGCTGATTGACTAACTTAGCATATATCAAGTTAAAGCAAAGTTCATTACTTCTCGAATGCCCCGAATGACCAAACACTGTAACTCCACCGGTATATATTTTTATCTGAATATTTTGATAGAGGATTACCCCCTGATTTTATGAGCATCTGAAAATGCAACCGGTTATTGGGTACTCAGGTTCATTATAAGTAATTCTTCTGACATATATACGATGATTTTTTTGCTTGACCATTTCGCATATGGATTTTGTCTTCTAGACGATATGGGGCTCTTATTGGTTCAATGGCCAGTGGGGATATAAATGCTGTGGATCTCTGATCAAGGATTCATATTGCACTAGCCCTAAAAACCACGAAAAGGGGTCTGCCGCACCAGCTAGTCTTATAGCTGGGAGCGTCAATGGAAGCGGAGGTCCCGGTCTGGGTGCTTGTTCAACAGGCAATTCCACAAACTGCTCTTCCTCCATGGCTGCATCTGGCGCTGGCAGTGGTATTAATTCATCATCTCACGCTCATCACCTTACAGGAGTTGCCATCATGCCAGAGCTGCCGCCTAACCCACAGAACTTAGCGAGCCAGCCATTGCCTGTGAAGAGTTCTGCACCCTGGCAACGTGAGGAACAGGAGGAGCGAGAACGTCGTGAGAAATTGACCCGGGCAGAACGTAAGCGGGAATCGACTAAGCATAAGCGGCGTCACCGCAAGCACAAGCGCCACAGCAGCTCCAGTGATTTGTCTTCAAGTCCAAGCCACTCTGACTTGGATTTAGATGCGGACCAAGGGCATTCTCAGGAGGCGATGTCTCCTGATCTCGAAAACATAGTAGACCCAACCGAAGAGAGAATGGAGTTAACGCATGACCCCAACACAGAAAAGGAGCATATCAGAATGGAAGCTCGCCGGGAAGCATTGCGTAGTAAGCGAGCAGCCAAAAAGTCTAAGGCTAGGCTACGTCGTCAGGAGGGGAGAAAGCATGGTAAAAGCCATCATCGGCGGAGTCGAAGCCGTTCACTGTCGTCATCCAGTGATGAAGGTAGGGCCAACGCTTCTTCGGCAATTGAGACTGAAGAAGAACTTCGTGAGCGTCGAGTCCGCGAAGCCATTCAGAAAGAGAAAGAACGCTTACTGGAAGTCGATCGTCTGTTAGCTTTAGATGAACGTAAAAGGCCATACAATTGGCAACGGGAAAGGAATTCTTCTGGGAAAGCTGTTTTTGCACCGACAGATGAAGAAATGGAGGCATATTACAGGACCCGAGTCAACCAAGACGATCCAATGGCAGAATTCATCAACAAGTCTTAGTGTTCTACAATCCTTTAACAATTTTAATTCCCGACTGTACAGTTCCCATTTGTCGATGCACACATATTTCCTACGTTCACTTTATTTCTTCATTTAAGTCAAAATCGACAATATTACCACTTTTTTCAATCTTATCTTGTCTGAGCACCTTATGGTCGTTTTTGTCCATTAATATTAGTTCTATAAAATCGGGGACGGCAAATTTGATTCCAGTTTAATGCAAGCATTATAGAAAGCCGTCATCATTTTATTTTAGCAGGCAAATGATTTTCAGAGCATAAGAAACCTACGAGACATGCACAGATCAATCAAAGCTACGAACATGTGTTCAAGCGATGTCCATAGGTAACCGTTGTATCTCTTTGATGCTTGGCTACAATGCGACGCATCCGGTAGGCCTGATATATGCCGATGAGGCGGAGTGGAGAAGCAGCCAGACACTCAAGAATAGTGCCTATTGTTGCACCCGGTAGCCAATCGCTACAGATAGGAGGTTCTATACCAGCAACCAGCCACGCCAGTGACGCACCTTGTAGGCCGAATGAGGATATTCGGCGACCTGCGGCTATATCTGCCATCAGAACTTTGGCTACTTCGTCAGAATTGGCAACATCACCGGTAGACGATAGCTCCAGCGTCATTGCCGGCTTGCCGATGTTTTCTGCCTATCAGAAGGAATACAGTTTGAAATAGAATGAATACCAGTTCGCTATCATTATAGGATTACTTGATATTGTAATCGCACTGATGATGACATCCCAACTTGAGGTAATTCCGAGTCCTCATGCAAGAATGTATGAATGGGGAAGAATAGACTGATATGCCCGGCGCCATATGTAGTACTCGGGGTAGTTTTTTTGCAAGTATGTTGAGTGAGCTTCTTAAGGCACCATTACGAACCCCGTGTATCACAATTTTATTGGGCTTAGCGGGCGAAGAAATTATCCTGTTTGTGGATAAGGCCAGTTCTAAGCCTCAGATGATGGGGTGGGTGCATATAAGGCATGCTAGTGCTATCAAAAATTAGGCTTCATTGTACTTTTCTCAGCCAGATGAGAAATATCCTAAGGCTTTTAAGTGGGGCATTCATGCTGAGATGACCAAGGATGATAACTCTCGATGAGCGTTTGAGCGGAAGATGTACGTTGTTTGATGATGATTACCTTGGGGGC